GGCTGAATCGCCAAGGCTTGACACACCATCTTTCATTAGAACAGTCATCGTCATGATAAACAGCAAGGGGCTCAGTGTGCAACCTTGCGAAATTCCAGATCTTTGCGCTTTCATATCAGACTTGACCCCTTGATCTTGCACGAAGAAACACCTGCTTCCCAAGAATGATGTTCAATGTAATCTGCGGAAATTGAGTCCACAGTCCACTCTTTCCGCTTCATTTGGGATGCGGATTCGGTTGGATTGCGCCCAAAAGCAAAACTCTCGAAGCTGCATCATACCTGGCACACGCACAAGCTGCCACGGTGTTTGCTGTAAGTCCCAATGTGTTGCCGCTGCACCTTACGTTCCTGCTTAGTCTTGCCCGCCAAGGTGACCACTTTCCCCATCTTCCTTTGACTCGGATCCGCCGACTAGGGCGGTCCGCAACGATGGTGTTTGTATTGACATAGGAGCGGGTGCATTCTGGCGGCAGGCAACAAGGAACACATTCTGTATGGAGCTCGACCTGCCTTTCGAAAGGCGCGCAGGCACACCATGCTGTCGGTCAATTGGATGAGTGGCACACGGCACTTCTTCTGCCGCAAAACTCTCCACCTTAGGGCCGTGAAAATGGCCCCCAACTCATATCCAACAGATGAACGGGATTTGTCATTTCGGATTCTTTGATGGGCCCTGGGCTCCGTCCCCAACTGCAACATCACATCAGAACCTTCGCAAGACAGCAGGGCCATCAACTTCTGTATGAGCTTTTGAGAGCTTTCAGGGTTATCCCACCTTTCTGAATCCCACGACTGCGCCAACTTTCCGAAAACAAGGCTTGTCACCATACAACGTTTGCAAAAGTTCCTTCAAGCTCTCCAGGCAGAAGCTCAAAGGCCGAAGCAACTGCAGCAACAAAACCACAACAACGGCAATGCTCCACCCGTTGCCAACCAGTGTCAACCGTTTGACCTCCTGCTCCTAAGGCTGCCACTTGGCTTCATTTTTCGGGAACACATTGGAAGTGTGCCCTACTGGAAGTCCCAAAGCCCTTTCGCGCTCATCAATGCCGCGAATTTCCTTACTTGCCCCCAATCTGAGGTGCCACACCAGACGCTCGAAACTCAAAAGCGGAAGCCAGTCCAGAGGAAGCTGAAAATGTCCTCCGATGAGATCAACAGGCCCTCGCCCGGTTGAAGACGCATGGAGACCAAGTATTGCAGCAGAGGCAAAGTGGCCACATCACCGTTCACTTGAAGGCTGATACTATTCAGGGGAAGCAAATTCACGACAGGCCGATGGATCTCTACCCCGCCCACACTGGACCCGCTGTTGCGAAGCGGATGTCTTCCACATTGCATGACCGCGCTAGCTGGGTTGCATGCCACCAGTTTCCAATATGAGTTTGGCGGAGTGGGCGGAGCATCAACTGGATCATGCCAATGTTGTCCAATGTGACTACGCAATAGCTGACCGTTTTTGATCAGGCAGCTGCATGGTCTCAATTTTTGATTGGTTGGGTACATGCACGGATGAAGACTTTCGAACCTGTTGCTGTACAGCGAGAAATCGTGGACTATTTGAAGAGCCGGGTTACAACTTTTTCAGAGCCTAGAGAAACTAAAAAACTGTGAGCACGACGCATCACGGCGATGACTAGGATGGTATCCGGATGACCAATCACATGCGCTGTGTTCCATTTCGGAGAACCAACAAGATCACCCAAACCTGTTTTCTTGAGTTCTCTTTAAGCCGCAAGCTTGTTGCCATCAAATGTTACCGGCATAACTACCATGCCCTCCGCAATCCACCTGCTCCATATCTACAGGCGGCAGTGTTCGTCACACATTGCAAGCACAACTGCCCTGCTCTCCCATTCCATGCGGAAACCGGGGCTCAAATCAACATCCCTCGAATCAATCCTCTCCAAGTACTTGAAAATCTCCTCCAAACAACCAGGGCCAAGCGGCCACAGCCGCCACACGCCATCCCTGTGCCCGAACGCACGCTCAGATGCTGACAGCCCGTCGAAAGCACTACACCCGGCCGACTGAAGGATGGACAAATCTCCAGATGCTGCGCAGGTCACGAGGCCCGCTTGCCAAATCTGCTGATATCTGCCTCCTTGACACAGGAGGACACACTTTGCGTGCCACCTGTGACTGGCGGTGCGTCACTGGTGGACGCTTGCGATTGCTGACAAATGCTGAACAGCAATTCCAGCTGCAATCAACCAATTTTCCAAGCGCAAGATGCTCCAACGCGAAATCTTCGGGAATCAAAAGGCAGACAGTAGATTCCGAGAGCAAAGGTTCTCTGAATGATACAACATGGCACAATTCTCAAGACATGGGTATAGAATGATAATAACTTCTGTAGCTGTACACGCTTTGTTTCAAGAATTCGGGCCAACCGTCCTGTCCACTTTGACTTGATTTCTTGAAAACGGATTCTGGTGTTCAGAGAGCTGAAGACACATTTCTTTCTTGCGCATCGCTGTCGTAGGCAATTTGACTATCGTTCAAACAATCTTTAAAAAGGAGTCGCGCCTGCTTTGCTTCAGGAAAAAACAGCGAAGAAAGTGGGAAGCGGCATATACAATGACCATCTAGACTTTCGGACGTCAATTGATGCAAACCCTCCTGAGTTCATCTATCTCACGGGTATTTTAGTGTAGCAAGAAGCAAAGAAGCAAATCCGGTGCCTGCGCTAACGTTTCTGCCTCCTCTTCCTGTGCGGACCAATATTTTATGGCCTGAGCATAAGCCATGCAGCCGCCAGCTAAGATCATACATGCTTGGAGCACCACAGCCAGTTAGTCAGAAAGTTAGATCTGCTCCCTCCGAACAGGGTACGGTAAGGTCAGCATTCCACATGTGGCTGCAACATGCTGCAGCGTAGGGTACGAGCTTCCCTCAGGCAGGCCACCGCCTTGTCGGGATTTTTCTGCCTGGTCAGGTCTTACCAAATCAAGCAAAGCACTGTGCATGATGCACTCCGGCCTTTGGTGCAGATTCACAATGGCCTCCACAGTTGTTGGTTGCGTACGGCCTGGACAGCAGGTTTTCACGCTGGTAGCCCGCGGTGGAGTTTCGAGAGCTTTAACAAGTCGCATGGCACTGAGATGCAGGCTGCTGAGAGGCAGCTTTGCAAGAACCTGCGGACTAATGGACTCTGGAAAGACGATCAGCCCCTACCTCGCCCTGTGCACTGGCCTCAACTGCCATTTCGTGCTTCTGCTGTTGCGCGTAGAGCTGCGCCAACGGCAGGATGACCTGTCCGGCGAACGTTATTGGCCACGCTTGTTTGCCATACAACAAAGCTTGAAGCCTCTTTGTCATCTTCGTGAGAAGCAATGTAGCCTTGCAGAATCTCCTCACCTAACCAACACGCTTTGCAATCACATGAGATGCGTTCCCTCCTCGTTCTGTCACACGGCATCCAAGCATCACGCAGACCTTGCCCTTTTTCTCTCTGTGAGCAATTGCTGCCTGCGTTGCTGCATACATATCAAAACAGCGTGCCCGCAAGCAACTGTTCGGACCTGCACCAATGCCACTCTGGGATGGTCAGGGTAGCTTTCACCTGAGGATGCCCGCGCTGCTTGATGTGGTGAGCGCATGTACTCTTCCATAGCCCGCTGATACGCTAGTCCACTAGACATGTGGAAGGGTTCGAGGTTCAGTCTGCACATCCAAGCCAGGCTGCATCGATTGCACAGAAGCTCTGAACAGAGTCGCTTACCATGGGCTTCATTTGTCTCACGGAAAGACCACGACTACTTAGCTTGTGCCCAAACACGCAGCTTGTCGAGCTCCTTCTTGGCAACATCAAGCTTTTGTGCCTGCATGGCCAGGGAATCTGCAACAGCAAGTTTGCCCGGCCCCCGCCTGGAGCAGCAGCAGGACTTTGTTGCAAGCAATCTCAACTGTCTGTCTTCGGGTCTGCTTGTGCTCTAAACCTTCCTGCCAGGAGAAGGCCCACGAGCCTTACCAAAACAAGAACTGACAGTGGAATCGTCCTTCGAAGCCACATTAATGCGCTTCAGGCTGTCAAAAAGGGACTTGCCCTCAGAACCTGAAGCTTCAAACACATCCACAAAGGCCTGCGACAGTTTGCAGAGCCGGCTTGGGGCTGGACGGAGGGCAACCACGTTGTTGCATGCAACTGCGAGGACAGTCACGTCTACCTGTCAAGCATGCCTAGCGCTAAAATGCTGAAAACCAGCATCAGTGAAAAGCGCACGCCCAGCCCAGTTGCATGTCAGCCTCGTGACCCAGGTCTGGCTTTTGCCGTAGAACTTTGTCATACCTTGGACATGACTGTGTGTGTGTGTGTCAAGGAATTTGGAACTTCATGAACTGCTCCAGGCACAGCCTTTACCAAGCCGGTAGAACCCCCAAGCAATTGGCTTCCAAACGCCACACGAACATGCCAGCAAACACTGTTGAGGAGGAGACACTTCTTTGGCCTCCTCTTCCTGGCCACGACGCTGCATGAGGCACCTCAGCTAGCTGTATGTCCAATCTGACTGAAAGTGACACACGAGAAACCTCTTTATGCAAAGGTTTTGTTTGATGCTATAGGAAGATGCCCATGTCTCAGCCTCTGGCGCCTGCTGCACGCGGATTGCCGCTAGCTCCTCGTGGTCCTGGAGCTGAGAGGGAGATGAGTGCTAGTGGACATTCCTGGATTCCATATTGGGCAGTTCATTGGGGTATCCAATTATTAGTTACCAGCAGGATGCTGGCTTGGGCCACCTCGAGCAATGCTGCATCTTCCTCACCAACTTCCTCAGCCTTCAGCCACATGGTGGAACCATGTTGGGCAAGGAACGGCAGGAAACAGGACGCCTGAACCAGCTCTTCTGTGCAGAGCTCTTTGGCCCGAGCGAGTTTGTCCTCGCTTCGACAATATGCAGAACAGAGAACAGACTGCCCAAACCCCATCCGACGCCTCCGCCTCTTGCAAGCGACCCTCGTCAAGGAGCGCACAGGCAGCATTGAAGCAGAGTTCGTAAGAGGACTCCAGAGCTTCCTGTACTCAGCCAAACTTCATGTGTCAAGCATTGCTGGGGAAAGAGAAAGCCTTGTTCCTGGCAATGAGGTGCATGGCCTGCTCAAACTCAAAGGCTGACGCTGCGAGGCAACATGTGGCAACTGTACTCCAAGCAGTTTACAGCTGCATTGCCTGCCGCGGCTTCTCCGCTGACACATATGATGCCACAGCATTCACTATCAAGCCATGATCCTGCAGCGTCAGCACAGCGTCAGCACATATCACGCTTGGCAGGAGCGGCCCATAGCGGCCCATTCGGGTCCTCAGAATCTTCCTGATGGAGCTTCTCGTATGCATCTGCACCTAGAGTATCAGGGTCTTGTGGAGAGCATTGCTGATGCATGGGTCGCCAAGGTCCGGACAGGCATCATAGTTTGCGAGTCTGTATTGGATCTGACAAACGTAACATCTAGATCCCGAAGCTGCAAGGTAAGTCTCTTGCGCCTGTGCTTGCAATCGCAACCTGTTGGCTACCACATCTTTGTCTGCAGATTTCCTGCCAAGCCGTTCTGTTGTGACTGTCACCACGCAAGGGCGCAAGGCCTAGAGTCCAACACATCCAGAGCTTGTTGGAATTGATTCAACCGATACCTCCGCGTGGAGCTGCCGGAAAGCAAAGGATCTCTCACTGTCTGGCTTGAAGAGGGCACAGTGCGTAGGCGTGCTCAAGGGTTAGGTCCTGCACAGGAAAACAGGATTCAAGGACACCCCGCTGGAGGACCTCC